AAGTTTGAGTTAATAGATCTTTTAAATTATATTCAGATAAGAATAATTGAAACACGACAAAATATAGATGAATTGCGGTAAGACTGTGCTTAGCACGGGCTAAAACACTAGTGATAATTTAAAGCAACTACAAATCTCTCGAAACAAACTCAGTGTTTGCAGGTCCTTGTTCATGCAGAAACATAACTCATGAATATATTTATTTCCAGAAAATTCTGCAAACAGAAATACGACTGCACAAAGTATCACTCTTTTTCCTTTGGTATAGTTTTCTTACATAGATAGTAACATCAACTTCCTCTTAAAAAAATTATTTTTTTCACTTCTTTACCATTTCGTCTATATATATGATATATCCAACCCCATTGTTGCAGGAACGTAAAATTTTAGAATAGTAAACTTCAGCACAGTGCACACGCAAGAGTTATTTTTTTCTTCTTTTTTGCTTCAGGGGCGTACTAATAGTGATTCAATTGGTGCTGGAACCAAAATGATTGAGATATGGATGCAACTGCTTCGTCTCTTCTATTGGAGCTCGCCAACAGGTGCCTCGTTGAGCCACAGGAAATGTATGAAGTCATACAGTCTTGCACTGACACTCACCTGCTCAATATTATTGTATTAGCTTCCAAGTTTCACAAAGCAATGAACAGAGAGATTGTGTACTGACCTTGTAAGGTGTAGGGTTTAGTCTTCTCATGTGATCTGGTCGCATTTGTTCTAGTTGTTGTATGCAACGTTCTCTTATGTCCTTGACGGGAGGTAGGTCCTCTCTTTTATTGGCTGTGTCAAGCATTATAAGGTTTAAACAAGGCAAATTGAAATGTTCCAACGCTTTGCATGGCAACTTTGTATTGTATTAGTTAAAAAGATAGTTGATCCAGAGGACTTACTGTGACTAGATGCTGATCTTGAATCAAAGCATCAATCAAACCCTTTTTACGAAATTATTTTATATTGGATTATAAGCACAAAGAAGAAGATTGACTAATGGCAGCGATACAACAGACTCTCTCCCTTTCAGGTTAATAATGGTCCAGAACCAAGCAAGATCTTCCTCCTATTTTTCCCTTCCAAATGTAAAACCAACACGTAATTGAAGGGTCCATCTTTAGGTCTGCACTAGGGATGATTATAATAATGCAATTATAACTCAAGCTATTTGGTCACTTTCAATGGTAAAGACCAAAACGCAAGTTTCGCGATGTATTTAAAACATCTTATACAGAATAAACTGGTTCCTTCCTCCCAATAACATGTTAACAAAAGTTTTAGCATAGAGATCATGGTCAACAATGAGGGTCACATTTCCCAAACTTTTTTAGCATGTAATTATCATCATGTACTATTGAACTCATAGGGAAGGTAAATTTATGCTCTCTCTTATTTGATACACTTACAAGAGAACTATAGAACACCATAAAGAATTTGGTCAGACTGAGAATGTGTACCTGAACCACCAGCCCAGTAACACTTCAAAAGCTCCTCAACTCGCTGTGGCACAACATAAGCTCGCTTTGATTCATTGAAGGGATGGCGACATAGGATCCGATCTCCCATCTATAATTATAAGCAGAAAAGAAGCTCATGACATGTCGCGTCAATTTCTCATGTAATACTAGTAACTGAACTGAAAGGCCAAAATCACAGTTTCCACCCACGTTAATAGTACTATCTCATTTATTCTCCAAACATAAGCTCTTACAATGAGATTGAAATGAAGGGGGAAAAAAGACAATGCTCTATTTTTACCCTTGGTGCTGGTTCATTTTCCCCTGTCATTATATCGACTAACGGGTAGCCTTCTCTTCCATATAATCTGAAACATCGTTTCTTACATGGAATGGAGACCTAAAGAGAAAAGACACAATATCAAAGAAAAAAATAAATAAATACATAAAATGCCAATATGAGTCGCTTCAAGGAGAGCTGACCTTGGAAACGTCTTCAGAGAGCTTCATGCGAGGCTGATTATTTATCTCAACTAGTTTGAACACACATCCAAGGGCTGCTTGTGCGTAGCACGTAACAAGGTAGGTTCCGATTCCAAAGGAGTCCACCTCGTGACCCTGCATAGGAAATGACATGTCCTTTAAATTTTGACTCTTCAACAGCATACTTGCAAATATATGTGCCTAGGGCCCAATGAACTTGGACAAAAGGAGGGGAGTAACTGTAGGCCAGCAATATACGGCCTTAAGATGTCAACTTAGTGGATATGATTAGAAATGTAGATTGAGGCCAACCGTAATTGACATCGGAGATCAGTCTTGCGTTGGGGTTGTTCAGCACAGTATAATACCACTATGCGGGACATTGGAATCGATATGAGCCAAAAGGGTTGTTCTGCCCGGTCTTGTGCAGGGGCCAACCATAATTGACATTGGAGCCCAGTCATGCGTTGGGGTTGTCCTGCTCAGTATTATACCACTATGCGGGACATTGTCAATTTATTGGATATGATTAGAAATATAGATTGAGGTCAACCATAATTGGCATCAGAGCTCAGTCTTGCATTGGGGATGTTCTGCTCAGTATTATACCACTATGCAGGACATTGGACTCGATATGAGCCAAAAGGGGGACTAAATTCACATCCTTTGTCCTTGCCTCCTTAGTGTCCTTCCTTAACATGAATGTTTGTGAACTGGATTCAAACCATGATCTCAACAGTTTCCTAGTTCTATTTTTCCCACACTTCTCCCCATAAAATATTTTAAATCATTTATAAGATTGTTTTAGTGGGTACTGGAACTAGAACCCTCGGATATCTAAAGTTTACCTGCTTGTTCAAGGCATCAATAGTTTCCTCATTGAGGTCATTGCTGGCTGTAATATTCATTTTTCCAAATTCAGGTATATCAAATTCCTTAGTGTCCTTCCTTAACATGAATGTTTGTGAACTGGATTCAAACCATGATCTCAACAGTTTCCTAGTTCTATTTTTCCCACACTTCTCCCCTTAAAATATTTTAAATCATTTATAAGATTGTTTTAGTGGGTACTGGAACTAGAACCCTCGGATATCTAAAGCTTACCTGCTTGTTCAAGGCATCAATAGTTTCCTCATTGAGGTCATTGCTGGCTGTAATATTCATTTTTCCAAATTCAGGTATATCAAATTCCTTTTCTATGGCACAAAAGAACTTCCGAGCCTCAATGGATAAATATGCTAGATCACCAGAGTCCAACCTAATCCCCATAGCTCGATACCTGCATCAAAGATGATCTTAACCAGATATCAGTAGATGAACCACTTAGGCCTGTAACACCATCATACAGGAACTATTAGAGGTAGTTAATGATTCAATGTTTAACATTCAAAAGCATATATTTGCTGAAAATGACCTAGAAATAAGCCGTAGGCTAACTTAGACATAAATGTTACATAAAATTAACTGTTATTTATGGGTATAGATCCCATTAAGCCGATATGTAATTGAAGATCTTGCAAACTGATTCTGTGGTAGAACATTGAAAACGAAGTATATTGCTATAACAAAAGTTTCAGTAGCTCTAGTTACTCATACAATATGAAACCGAATGGGCACTTGATAATGTGGTGCAAAAGTACCTAATGAAAATTTAGATATATAAAGCCAATATGTAGAAGAATCATAACAATATCCTACAATTGAATTTCTGCCCTATGTGGATCATGTCGTCCTACCCATATTATTTACTTATGTTCTATAAATTTTGAAGTAAAGAGTCCTACCTGCATTTAAAAATTTGTCATGAGAATATGGGGAATTTCCATGTGAAACATGCAAAGAGCATAAAATTTTAAACTCAACCCACACCTCAACATAGAAGTTTTGGTGCAGCGGATGTGAATTTAAGATGGTAAGCAAGATAGATTCAAATCCCAATGGACATGTTTTAAGTAAGATTTAGGAAAAAACCACTTATGTAAAATAGCCCGGGTTTCAGTCAAAGGATGCTCAACTGAGTATAAAATTATAACCAACTCTCATTGCAACTTTGGAGTTTTGTTATAGCAGAAGGGATTTTAAGAATGTTCTTACTTATCTGTTGAAGTTATAGATACAACTTAAGAGAATTTATGTCTCTGCCAGACATCTCTAAGTCGTGCATGATCTTCTTACTTCTACACCATATTGACGTGTTCTGGTGCAAAGGGTAGACAAAGTCTGTACAGCATATGCATGATGTTCTGAACAATGAAGCGCTGAGATGCTGTGCTTATCGATATAAGTATAGTACATCTCTAATATGGACTAATACAGAATGTGTTCTCATTCTGTGCTCAGTTTGTTTTGTGTAGTTTGCTGACTTACCATATCAGGCAGCTAAAGATTGCTCAATTTTGCCTTGTGTGTTGTGTAGTAAAAGAATTTCTTGTATCTTTTACGACGTTTAATAAGCTTCTTCATTGTTTGTCCTAATACTAGTTCATGTTAGCAGCATGTCTCATCTCGTGAGTGTTCAGGCATATAATCTGTACCATATATGATCATAATAATGATAATAACATCAATTGGTTTTTATGCTAAGCATTTCTAACATAGAACTATTTACCTGGCTAGGACGATCAAAACATTTAGAGAGGAGTGAAAGATCTGCAAATGGATTAAAAACAAACTTATGATATCTAGGGAGATTATGTTCTAGTTTTTTTCAAAGGAGAAATACTTGTCCGTATAATTAAGGATAGCAGGTGGAAGGATATATTTTTGTGAGAACAGTTGGAGGGGAGAAGGATCCATCCCCTATCAGGCTGTCACCATAGCTTCACAAAGTTGAGGAAAAATGTGACTGTAACATGAATTACCGTCTATACTTTCACAAAAAGATAACTAAAAAGGAATATGCTTATGAAGTGATGTGTTACCATAAACCAGAAGTCAAGAAAGAATTTTCTATGATGGATATATATAACCAGCTACACATGAATGTTGCGGATCAAGAAACAATGTCTAAAGATGTAGCTGATACGAAACTGTTAAGATGGATAAGAGGCAATACAGCAAAAGAAAGTACGTAAATCAGTAATACAAAGAATTTCCAAGTCAATAAAATGAGGACCTAACTTCCAATATGAGTCAAAATTTTCATCATGTTCTCTACCAAAAGTGGTTGGTTTCTTTTTCCCGCTAGGCTTGTTAGCAATTACACTGATCCGCCATTCACCAATACTAAATACCATCTAAATCCATTACATTGTACTTAAATCCCTGGATTCTATTCATTGCATTAAAAAGTAACAAGACCAGGTGCAATGACTAAGATTGTAATATTCATCTTCAAACTTTACGAGATAAGCTGTAATTGTCACTTGCAAGTCCCAGCACACAGAAAGAAAGGTAACCATAATCAATAAATACTTGCTCAACTTCAAGAGAAATATAAAGATATTTAGAAATGACTTATTGATGCTAGATAATAATTGCAAGTTCTGCAGAAATTTAAAAATCACTGATTAGTAGTAAATAGTGCCTACTTTTCCTATGTGGAACCTTCATCTATGGATTAGTTCTTTCAAAAGAACCTTAAAAGAGAGGAGAAATTAGAGATGTTGTTAAAGTAAACATATAAGTGAGTGATAAAAGTGCATGAACAGTCAAAGTTACATAACTAGAAGGCTCAAGATTTACCCCAATTCATTAAGTGCTAAAGATACAGCGCAGAAATTAGGAACTCCACTCCTCATTACCTAATGAAAATGGATGTTAATTATCAGATGCTTCATTAACAATCAGATGCTCTATTAACACAATAGACAAGCAATTAACTATCAATATCAGGGCTACCACCAATACAGGATAACAAGTCGCGACAAATTTTATATAAATGCAATTGAAAGTATACAACTTACTAATGATTACTACCATGAGTATGTATAGATACTTCACTAGCAGAGTATTCAAAACTTCTTTATTATTTCAATATAGTCACCAAAAATGGACTAATAACGTGCCCCTCCCCAAAGCTGTGCATTCTTGAGCATCCAGCTTTATTTTTTTTCATCTAAATGTCAGGGATAAAAAACTGAAGTCCTATCAACTCATATGGTCAACAGTAGCCCCGCTAAAATAGTCTTAAATTAAACAATTAGACTTTCACTTGATTAGTTGCACGTGCAGTCTACACAAGTTACTGCTACATCAAACAACTGAAGTTCTATGAAACTCACCTGATCAACAGGGACCCTACTGCAAAAATATAGAAACGACTGTGGAGGTCCTTTTTCTTTCATGGCAAATTTATTTCTTGCTAACCGTCTAGCCTTACAAAGCTAAAGGAAAATTAGTAAATGAAATGCTACATTGCATTCATCAGGGCACTATCTCATGAGTAGCATGTGATGAATATATATATGTAAATATATGTACTATAATGCATTCCATGTCAAAGAATAGGGTGTTCATCTCTTTAGCAAAGAAATTCTGATATTATGACTGTAGATAGAGAAAGGAAATCATATAGAAGACCCCAAAATTTTGGTTAATTACTTTTGTTGTTAATACTATTGATCCTAGCTTTATTAAATTGCACATATAGTTATAAGGACGCTTACTTATATTCCACTAGTGACAGACATCACCATCCACTCAACTTCATTCTTTTTCCTCGACTTCTTCAGTTCTTCTTCCTCTGATCAAGTATGTTGTGCAACACAATTAGTCACACAAGACTTCTAAAAATCCAGCACAAATGTATATATCTGTGTTATGGCTTCATGGTCTTAGTCTGACTAGTTAAAGATACTAGAAAATCCTAATTAGTCTTTCTGTGAAATAGAACAGGGCAACAGGCATAACTTCATCTAAATAATATTTAGTTGAAGAAAATGAACCCATAAAGAAATAAATGGTCCAAACATGTGCTGCAGTGTCCAGATCTAGTGTTTGCTTTAATTAGATGACTAGCGTTGCTATGAAAGCTAATCTAGAGGAAATTAACCTGACCAGTAAAATAATATAAGCCATGTAAACTAATACAAGGCATGGCATGACATTTGTATTAGCCTAAAAGTAACCAGGTCATTTAAGCTAATATATAGTTAACAAGCTTTCCACAATTGTGACCAGATCTAGTAGCATCAGTGTTAATCAGGAGTCTAACATTACCATGAGAACCAATCTGGGTGAGGCACAGCTTGAGTCCCCTCAGATTTACTATTTAGATTTTTAAAATATTGAAATCTAACTTCACTCATAAGTAAGTTTTGACTATCATCACCTTCCCATTGGGCTTACCTTAAGTCTACAAAGTAATTTAGTACATGGGTAAGATTTTTTTTCTAGTTGACCAAGAAGAGGTTATGTTGACATTCAGTCAGAACTCTCTCTCTCCGATTCAGATTCCATAAGATGGTATCATGAAAATATCTGATGAGGAACAGGTTATATAAACAGGACGCATACATAGTCTAAGGTGCCAGAAAAATGATTATACTTGGACATGTTCATTAAACTTAGGGCCAAGATGACATATAGAACAAATGTTCAAATATGAAAAAAGAAAATTCCATTTCAAGATCAAAAAGGGAACCAATATGAGAGGGTTTCACCATTAAAATAATAAATAAGAGATGAAGGAGTAGTATTTCACTTACGTCATATGTATCTACAAGTGCAAGGAAGTTATTTGGCAAAGCCAATGCATAGGATGTGAATGCTGCCAGCTCACTTTGATTGGTGTCACCAAAAGTACCTCGTAATGAATCAGCCCGCTAAAAGCATGACGAGATAAATTCATCAGTTAACAACTAAGAATAAGCTACAGGTGGAACTGAAACGAAAAGGAAACAGGCCTAACCTAAACTCATGCAGCAGAGAAAAAGATATTGTTAATATGTCACCATGGAAACTAGATAAGAAGGAAAATTTAACTTGGGAAAACACATTATTTTCATGTTCACATTTGCAAACTGCTTTAACTAATTAGCAAATCTGAGTGGGTGAGTCTAAATGCTAAATGTCAGGTCGAACAGGTAAGCATGTGCTGTGATTCAGTATAAACCAAATCAGTTTAATGTATTTAGTATTTCCGGTCACTTTTCTCATCAAAGTAGCTCAATCCCAAAAAAACGGTGGTAACAGTGAAATCATTGTCTCGGCTGAAAAAGAAATATTAGTCATGTAATGTGCTAGAGTAATCTAACTACCAACTAATTACCAGCGTATTTTAATAGATTATGCTTACCGGAATATGAATTCGCAGCATCAATCTTACCAAACTTTAGTGCACACTTTGGTTCATTTATGGGTATGGAAACAGGGCATGCTACTTTAAGTGGTTCAATAGAAGGATGGTAAGCTTAATCCAATATGTATCCTAGAACCTGAGTGTTCGCATTAATTTTACTAAGTTTTTAGCACAGTTTGGTTCATTTATGGAAATGGGAACATGGTACGATTCTTTAAGTGGTACTAATTTAAGGATGGTAGGCTTAATCCGATTGGCATTTAGCGCCCTGGACCATTGCGAGTGTTCACTAGGGTCATTTTAATGTGCATGTGGCTAGATAGGAGACATATGAGGGCGTATAAGATCAAGTGCTATGATAATAGAAGTTTTCATCTTTTGCCATCTATAGAGTATTCTTTCGCCTTTTCCTCCTTCGTCTTTACTGTATATAGGATAACCCTAAATTTAAGTACTGCTATTTATATTCTTTAATCTTCAAAATATCAAAAGAAAAAAATATATTAGAGGAAAAATGTAAAACCTGCATTTTGTTGAGCCAGCACTCCACCAGGCTAACGAAATCATCACAAGTGCTTGAGCCATCATAACTGCGAAGTGTTTTGTTCACGATCTCATCCAGGCTCTAGTGGGAAAAGAGGACAATTAGACCAGCAAGGCACAAGAAATTAGTAAGTAAAGGTGTCAGCTGCTTAAATGTAATATTGATGTCATACAACAGCATAAACAATTATCAAGTAAGCGTGTCATTAAAACCTTGATATTCTATAAACAATTAGAAGCGTACACAAAGGAAAAAATGTCCAGAATGTATTTGAAGCTCAACAGAATTGGTTTAAGTCTAAACAAGCAGGCTAGATCAATTTTCAGCACAGATCCATCTAATATGGCAGTGAGATGGAAGTAAATCCTCAAGATTCACACCTATAAAATAGTCTCTGGTATCAGACCTTAAATCGAAGGATTTAGAGTCTTTTCCTTTGGTCCTACTCAGTATGTGTTCCAGGACAGCACCGTATTCCAAATCTACTACCGACATGTTCCTCCAGCCTTGAGAGCAGAAAACAAAAACTGTTCAAACCCCAAAAGGATAAATACTGCAACTAATGATATTCTCGCTATTTTATGTCTGTAACTACATCTTAGTTCCCTTGGAGAATGGTGCAAGTAGTTTTGCTCAAAACCTTGCATACATTTCGAGCTCACCAATTCTGTAACTAGTTAATTACACTTCCTCCCTGATGCTTATGATTGTTCTCCATCAACCTGGACTTCTTCTACGTATGTAACTGCATTTTAGTCCCCATAGACAATGGCATAAGCAATCTTGCTTACATCTCAAGTTAATTAATTCGCTAACTTGTTAAGTACGCATCCTTCTTGATGATTATAGTTGTTCTCCCTCAACCTAGTATTTCCTCAACAACCCTTGTTATTACACATATCCTCTATGTGTTTTCTTTTTGGCAACTAGCAACTTTTCCCTCATTTAGTTGTGAAAATTTTTTTTACCTGTTTACATGTAGTTTACACCCATCTCTGTCCACTTTTGGGTTGACACTGTAATTTATTCATCTTGAAAGTTGAATCACGCCATTACCTTGTCATTTCTAGCTTTACTGAAATAAATTCTAATAAGAAGTCCCAGATGGTCAAAGATAATTAGAAGCTAAAAGCATGTAACATTCACTGTCAAGCTTCTAACTAGCATAATAAATATATACAGCCATCCAAGTCCACTATTATGAAATACTGACTTCCATTTTCATAAAGTTAATGACTTATACACAGTCTTGAAGGTTCCTGGCTCTTCATGGGAACACTTTCCCTAATTTCAAGATATCAATGGATGTTGATTGCTCTGGTTTGTAATTATTTTTCAAGAAATCTACAAAACGATACACATATGCCCCAGCCTTTAAGCAAAAAAGATCATGATCAAGTATGAAAAATCAAGAAGACAATAAAGCAGATAAAAAGACAATTGCAAGCTGTTGCTTAGAATATATGCATAGTAGAACATTCAGGTACCACAAATAAAATAAGTGATAACACCCACCATGAATGAACTGACAAAGGCATGTGAATGTGTTCCACGAAGTGGTATGCCAAACAATCTTCCAGCTGCTACATTGCTGGTTGACAATGCAAGATAGAAACTTGTCAACATTCCATAAAAATGTGTATTGAACGTTATAAAATCCAGAATAAAAATTTTGATGTTGAAGTGCTCATATAAGGAATAATTGACACCAGAAATAAGGAAACCCAAATATTAACGAGTTTTAGAAAAGTGGTGTTCAATAAACGAAAGTTGGATTTAACATGTAAGGAAAATCAAATATTGATGAGTCTAAAAGACACAAATATAAGATAGAAAAATGTAAATGTTGTCATTCTATAAAATAAGTATGGAAAGTTATACACCAGAGTACAATTTTGATGTTGAAGTGCTCATAAAAGGAACAATTGACATTAGAAATACGGAGAATGAAATATTGATGAGTCATACAAACATTGGCAATATATGAATGAAAGTTTATTTAAACTTAAAGCACGACACCTTATCACTAAGTCCCAATTAGGACCAGAAGTTTATTGAGAATGGATGGTGCAAAATCAGAAACTGCCAGAAAGTATATGATGGAGACCTGTCAGATATGATAATTAAGAGATATATGACGTCTCAATTTTAAGATAGTGTGACCGGTGCCCATTTCTCAGAATAGTTGGGAATATTAATTACCTATCTTCGTGCATCTAGTTGTATGACCAGCTAATATTTACATATGTGAAAATCATATTCAAGTTAAACTATACCATATATCACTTATACCAAAATGGCAGAATTACTATTACTTCCAGCTGCTTATAGCTTTTGCAGGTGCATGCCACCTTAAATGAAACTTGGGTGAGGGAAATAATAGATATCCAATCTTAACTTAAGAGGATTGACTTGGATGGAACAAGCAACCTATGAAGAATCAGACCAATGAATTTTCAAAAACAAAGTGAACATAGCAGTAAAAATATGGAGGGTAAAGTATTAACCTTGTTGCATCAAATCCTCCCATATAGCAATATCTAGAAGCACTGATTCCACCATCAGGGCCCTGTTATCAGATTGAAGATCAGTTGAATAAATGATAAAAGTGATGGTGTTGCTGTTGATAATGATGATGATGGTCTGAAATATTTGAAGAATGAAAATAAATGTAACCTGAGCACGTCGAAGGCCAAATTCAAGTAAATGTTTTGTCTTTCCAGCAACAAATCTGTGCCTTGCAGCATTCGTGGTCACCAGTGATGCATAATTAACAAGATTTACAAATGGAGTTTCAAGCAGTTGAACCACCTAAATTATATTGCCAACGTAGTTACATCATAAAATGAATGCAAAAAAAAGAGTAAAAGATAAATAAAAAATATTAACATAAAGAACAAATTAGTATTTAAAGTTTTGTATCTCGAGGTATAAGGGGACAGTTGTTGCAGATAGTTACATATACTCACAGCAACTGGTCCTTCAATTCTCATTAAAGGAACCTTGGGAAATACAACGGAGCCCTCAGAAATGGCATAAACCTCAACATCGGAGCAGTCAATCTCCCTTAGATAGTCAAAGAAACCGTCCTGAAATTTCATATCCAGCAATGTTCCATGTCAGGTAGCAATCATGAATTTGTAGAAAATAGATACTTGCCTAGCATATTTCAAATAAACATTGAAGAAGTACACAAAATTTTCTGATGTTCTATATTCACATCATAAGAGGAGCGTGCTAAGCATATCCGTCAGAAATTTATTCAAAAAAAAAAGAGGCTACTTATGAGAATTTTGATATAAGTAGAGTATCCAAATCATTTTGATATTCAAATTAGGAATAACGGGGCATTTCTGATTTGCCTGGTTAGAGTCTAAGAGATGCTCTAACCACAGTTATAAAATGGCCAAGTGTTCAAGGCCCAGAATATCTTAACTGCGGCCATCGAGCTTCCGACTGAAGACCAAATTGAACTAACACAAAAATTACTCACAAATCAACCTTTTTAATCTCTTGGTATAATTCTTTTTTGTTTGAGTGTATGTATATCAAAGCTTGTTGTATACTGAGAACTATTCATCACTTGTCCTTAGCTAGTGAAATGATATGATTTCAGAATAAACCTAATACTTATAGGATCATTTACCTCACACGTAGGCATTACTGAACACAAGAAAGAGATCTCCTCCTCTGTAAATTTGAAATTAGCAATAAACCGGATGCACTCTTCCAGACCACCAAAGATGGTGTATTCGCCACCAAAAGGATTCCTCCGGAAGAAGAGATCAAACCTGCACATAGTAAGATCCAAGGTAAAAAGATCAACAAAATTAACTGGATACTCTCCATTGGGCAAGGACAAAAAGAATATTTAATTCTCTCTAACCTAGTGGCTAATAGCACTTGAGAAAATACATGCATTTGTAGACGTGTACAGCCAAAATCTCATTGCAGGACATGTTCCTAAAATAGCAAAGGAACTGGAGGTTTAATCACCGAAAGAAACCAACTCACCAAAATATTTATCTCGTGTTATATACTAAAATAGCTATCACCGTTATGGGAATGACAAGTGACGGTTGTTTTAGTCTTAATATTAATATTGTTATGGAAATGATATATCTTATCTACTATTAAATCTATCTTTTCAACTTGCATATGTCATGCACCATTATCTCTATATCAATCCTACCAAAATCCAACAATTATTTCATTAATATTGCGGGTGGCAAAATTT